ACTTTTCAAACCTTTCTTTCAGCATACATCATTTTACCTCAAACATATCTTTGTTATTTCTGTGCTGCAATTTGTTGTTAATTTATTTACAACAAGCTAATACTTTGCCATATATAAACCATATTCTTTCATATATTCATATATTTTCTTTCAATGGGAGAGTATTGTTACAGCCAAGTTCAAAGCCAAAGGTTTGTAGTATTTCACCTGAAATACTCCTAAAGTGATATTCAATAACCATTGCCTGTGATGTTCAACATCTTTTGCTGCCTTTGTAAGTACCTTTCACAGACATCTAGATCTAGTCCTGATTTTCACTGTTAACTGACTTTGTTATTCCGAAAAAGTCTTTCCTTTTCATTGTCTTGTTTTGTATGAACAAGCCACAATGATCCAAATTTATATCCTGCATTGACCTGCCAATTGTAACTCAAGCTCAGTCCTACTATATGTCTCATTGTAACCTATCTCAGTAGTGTGTGACCGTTGGGTGGCAGAGAATATTCACCTGTGGATCAATCAGATTAAAGTCTGACTCATTTTATGGAGGAGGTAACCATACCACACAGATTCATCATTCTAAATCCATAGCACTGCACTATAGGCAGAGTATCTATGGACTATGAGCCATCCTTCCACTAGAGAAAGGTCAGTAGCAGCCTGACATGTCCGAGAGACAGCTTATGAATTGAGAGTGGACTAATACCACAAAACTTACTTGGGATTCCAGCCCAGTCCAGCAGTCACACCGTTACCAGCTCAAAGCCTGCTTGCTTGTGAACCCACAAACTCAATCACTCGCTTGTTTTTTCACCTACTTGGGTCTCTTGGTCACTCACCCGCTTACCCCATAAACCAACCTTCACTGGCTCACTAACTCATCTACCTTACTCTCCCACTAACCCTTCACCATTTCCCCCACCACCTCCAGATGGCTTTTATAGTTCTCCCGCTGAGAAAAAAAAAAAGGGCTGTTAGAAACTTTATTCCTATAAATGCAGAGCCATTACTCTGCTTTAATGTGCACGTCTGCACATCATACACTTGTGTTTGCCACGAGCCCATGGCGTCAAGGGAAGGGCAATAATGTCAGACAAATTGTGTAAGTAAATGGGCGCTAGGTCGTCCTAGAGATGAGCGCATTGCCTCCCTGCATGCCAATAAGGCAGTGAGGTAGCATCTAGCTGAAAAGCAATTTATTGAAATGCAAAAAGAGGAGAGAAGGCCCAGAGCAAAGATGCTGACAGGACAAAAACCTGTCGCCATCCATCTCAGTTTGCCAAATTTTCCCTCTACAAGCTGAGCTTCTTGTCCTCTCCCAGAAAAGAGAGGTGTTCCCTAGAAATATTGCAAGAACAGCTGGTGTGCCTGTGTGGTCACAAGCTTTGCATGCTGGGGCTGAATGGGGAGGGTTCAGAGGTTTTGATGGACACCTTCGAGGTTGATAATAAAGGCCGCTAATTGAAACTGAAGCTGAGACAAATTCAAAGTCATTCGTTCAATGTAATCCTAATATTCATGCTCATGTTTTCCATTCTGGCTAATCCGTGTCCTCTGACACCGAGGCCATCTTCTTTCCATTAGCACTGTTGTTATTGTTTCTGCCAATCTCTTTCCTGTGAGTGAGATCGGCGGTGCCACACAGAAACTGAATAAAGAAGTTTAAATCACCAACGTCGGCGAGCCTGTTGGCACTCGCTGAGGTAGTATGCATCAATCACCTCAGCAGTGTTGGGTGAATGTGATTTAAGCGTGAGCTCCTGTTTTGTCTCACTGAGTTTTATATCTCATTCACTTTACTGTTTCTTCCCTGCCTTACTGTATTGTCTCAATGAATGTCTTTATCTTCGCCATGTGACTCATTTTTAGAGAGATATATAAGCCTATTTCAAGCCCTGGGCCTGGCTGTGCCTCTCTGGTCTCGAGGGCTGTACAAGGCTGCGCCCTGCTGCTGCTCAACCCCTGGGCTAGCCCCAAGTCCACCTCGCTCCTCTGTGATCAGCACACCTCCTTTTACAGGTCCCCCTGTCTCTTCCTCTGTTTTCACAACCAGGCAGAATAAGGCCAGGTTGTTCATCCTGACAATGAAAGAAAAACCTAATTGACTCTTCCTCTCCTGTTCCTCATCCCTCCAGCTTGTCTACAATGAGCCTTGAGGCTCTTTTTAGCCTGAAGCCATCCTTCTGTCAAGGGACATTATTCTCTTTTGGTCACAGCTTAAGAGGCTAGGTTTCTTCTAGGCAGGTAAAACTGGGCTGACAGTTTGAGAGAAAGCAGCTTTGATCTCCACTGTCTTCACGTTGCAGAACCAAGATGACAGGCAAGGGAGTCTTAGGAGCACTTTATTCCACCAAAGGTGCTGGAGAGAAAACACTCAGGCTTGTAAAAATGCCTGCAAATCTTGGCTCTCACATTCACTGAAGCCCAAACAATACCTAAGCTGGCCCCTTGTGAGTCCCCTATAGTGTCTTCCAGAGACTAAGGGAGCCTCATTTCTCATTGGTGATGTGCCCTGTGTTAGAGGCTCCATATGGAGGTGGTGTTTTATCATACTCTTGCCTGCCCCCATTAAATATCTATTTTTACCTTAGCAGTTGGCCATGGCCTCCTACGATACACAAAACACCTACGGTGAAGCACCACCTATAAGATGTAACAGTAGAATATACGCTCCAGGTGTGGTCGATAGAACCTATAAAAAAAACATTGCAAACATTAATTGAAAGTACATTTGTAGTTACAAGTAGTACATTTTCATTTTACACTTTATCATTTTTTAAGAAATGATAGTGCTCAACATCAAAAAGCTGCACAGGATGGACACAATAACACATTACATTATATGTACAATATAATACAACAGCACCATTTTATTGCCTCTAAAACTGCCTGTGTTGACTCAGTGCCTCACAGACAATAAAATCTGAATTTTTAAAGTAGGCTATTATGTTGGATTTGCATTATATTGTGCAGGTGTTCCTGTAATTGTGTCCACCTGGGTCTATCATAATGTCTGAGACAGATGTGACCTCTACATGTTCAGACAGCTGTGGATTGTGGTGGTTCTTGCGGCCACAGCACATGACAGTAAGATTTTATAAATGAACAGAAATAGTACCTGAAGCTAACCTTACTCACATGACACAGGAAGCAAACTCACTCACAATTTTCAAAATAAGAGAACAGAGATGCTGATGGTCCACTCCAATTTACTTGCTTTGATTTGTTGGTTTTTTTTTTTACAAAATAATAATTTTTACATTTTACACAACCAAAGTACACATGAAAATAATCTTTAGTGATGTCTCGATAAAGCAATAGAGAAGGATTCGTGGAAAGTAGTGGCGGCAATCTTTAACCACTGCATTTGGCTGCATACAGTGCCAAAATGCAAACATTACCAAGTGCAGCTTTAGTGAGACACATCAAACCTATAGAATCCAATAAAAACAAAAATCATAAATGCTGCATGCAGTTTAAATGTGCTGAATTGTGCAGAATTTCATTATGACTCCAGGCTTTCATGTGGTAGTAAATTATATGACAAAAATGAAAAGATCAACTATATCTATAGTGTCGTTTTATGTTCACTGACAGGGTACATACTTCAGCCCCTATCCATTTTATGTTACTAGTCAACTGACATTGAGTGTTGACATCAGCAAAAGTGGAAGGATGTAAATACAGACAGGAACCCTGGTGAGGGTGTTGCATTTAGATCTGTTATTATGATTGTCTTGTTTCATTCTTTATCACATCACGTCAACTCGTTACATATCCACTTTTTTATGAGTAATGACGTGTGATACAGATTCATAGTATCTAGAAATCCTCAAGTGCATAGGTGAAGTTTTCCACATTTGGTGCAGCTCTGAAGACTGCAGACTCTAGGTAATGTGACAGTGCAGCCCAAAGCACTCCATCCTTACCCTTGCACAGAGGGAATAGGGAAAAGGGGAAAGAGAGGATAGGTAAACAGAGCCATTAGAGACAAATCTATTTCTGAAGAAAACAAAATCACATCATCAAACAAGAGAAAAAGAAAAATATGATCCTGCAGCCCTTTGGGCCCTGGCGTAGCGATGATAGCCGACTATGGCATTTGTCTTTATCAGTCTGCCTTGAGGGAGGGAGAGCGTGGTGGGAAGGTGTGAGAATAAAAAGAGAATGAGAAAGACAATGGAAACAAAGAGCACCGTGTCTTCTTTACACATCACAAAGAGCTAGACACATTTGTTACTTTTCTGACTTCATGAGATGTGAACAGCTTGTGTATTACTATTCCTCTTTCATGCATGTTTTGCGGTTTTTGCTGTTAGTGCTAAGTGGCTCTCAGATGGTCATTCTTTAAATATAACAGAGTGAAGGGCTCGGTGGACAGCGAGCCACAGCATCATCAGTCATGACTAGCCTGGGGAGGCATACGCAGCTTCATCAAAATGACAAGATTGACTTTCCAGATTTTATCCTTTCTCCGTGACATTTGGTTGTTTATCCTGCTTTGTAGTAGCAGTACCAGAGAGTCTTTATGCACCTTGTGTATTGAGAGTCTCTCTTGAAATAGATATATATGGTTAAACAGACTATGGTGACCTTTAAAAATTAAATTGTAATAATTAGGGCCTAGATGTGTAGTGTGTAAAATGTGTATGACTTCCTCAGCAACACTTGCCTCTATAGTATATTGGAGGTAGTGACTTTTTTTAAAGGGTACATATTATGCAAAATTCACTTTTTACATACTTGTACACATAGATTTGGGTATTTGGGTGGCCTACCAACCCAAAAACTGGGAAATAAATGAACACAGTCCTTTTTTTGCGGGCTGCCTATGTCAGACGACCTGAGCGCCAACAAGCCGTTCAGATTTTGCTCCTCTTCCTACGTAAGAAGCTGATTCAGTAGCATTGTACCCGCTCCCCTCTGACTAACCACCTCCCTCAGAGGAGAGCTGCCTTTGCGACTGTCCGCCATGTTTCCCCTGCAAGCACCGGCTGTTTCTGAAAGCCTGGAGCTATGCGGCACAGCTGCCCTGATGTTGGCTGCACGGACCAGCACAAAGTCTGCATGTCCTCCCATCATCAGAGGAGGCTAAAAACCAGCGGGTTGACTTTATTTTTGATAGAAATGTGACTAAAACGTCCCCACAACAACTGAAACTGCTTTTCCCAAGGGAGGACCAGCTCAACAATGGACCGATACCGGCTGTCTGTGACCCAACTTCACACTTGGAAGCTGTAAGTTTTTCCCTGTTTTTCCCTGTTTTATGTTGTTTTACTGTTTATCGTATAGGTTAGCCTGCTGGACTTAGCGTTAGCATGCTGCAAAGCTAATGTGGCTAACATTGTGTCACACTGGCTGGGCAGATGTCAGACTTTATGTTGTAATATCGAGGGACAGTCAGAGACTGTGTGAACGTTAAGACTCATATGAAGCCAACTAAATATTGCACCTGGAACTTTTACTGTATTTATGAGCTTTTGGTATGTCACAGCAGAAGTTACAGTCACAGTAAATGTCCCACGTAATTTGTTTCTTCGTCAATAAACTATGCCTACCTGTTATTATTATAGCACTGTGTGTAGCTGTTGCCATTTACACAGTTTAGATAAAGTTGGTAACTTCAAACTGTTTCCTTCATACAGAACAACACATCACTACAGTTAGCTGCAACAAGGGACCCACCAGAGACACTGCTTTATTATTTTATTTTATAACTTAGGACTACTTTGAGCCACAATGAGCTGTTGCACCCTTGAGTAGTTAGTTGTCCTTGTACTGTATTATACTGTATTATATGCTGTCTTACAAGTAACGCTGAATCTGCCATGGTTTACAGATGATCTGAGTAACGTGATGAAGCTCAGGTGTTCCTGGACCCATCAGAGGACAGAGACAGCTGCAGCATCAGGACAGTATGGGTATCCAAAGGAAGAAGCATCGAGATGAACACTGACCGCAGAGCTCCATTACCAGCTGACACTTCAAAATGCAAGAAACTATATACCTCGACGGAGGACATTATCTGCACAGTTTACATAAAAGTTACAGCTTTCCTACTTGCGTCATACACGGTCTATATTTCTGTGTAACTGGGATTTGAATGAAACATGAATAAAGAGTTTTGCCTGACTTACTATGAAATATGGATAGTGTGCTGTCCACAGTATATAGGCAAGTTACTTTATTAGATCAGTAATTCCTTCAGTTATGTTGACATGTTGCACAGGATAAAGTATTCCAGGCAGGTTTCTGCTAATGCTGCTGCCTAATGTGTACAAAGAGAAATAACAGATGGGAGGTTACAGCCATCATTATACTATTATACTTTGGTACATTTACTGGCTTTTTCTTCACTAGAAATAATTGCTTGTCATTGTCTGTTTTATATCGTACTTTCCATCCCCACATCCTGAGAAGAGAGAGATCCTCTAAGTGTTTACATTACATAATATGCTACATGCACATGCTAACACATAACCACTGGGCTGTGAGGACTGTAGTATTTACCTGAGGAAAACATCATGGAAACTTGTAATCTTGATTGTCGATGTTAATTTCCCCCTCGATTTTTTGTCTAAACATGTCACTAACATGTCTGGTGGGGAAGTTTTTTGTTTAGAAGTAGTTATTGATTTAATATTCACGGTAGTAGTGAAAACACCAGCAATGCTGATGTGGAAGACAGAGGGTGGTACCTGCTTCAGCTCGTGTGAGTTGACCAATCAGAGCAGACTGGGCTTTTCGGAAGGGGCCTTAAAAAGACAGGAGCTCAAACAGAGCATTTCAGACAGAGCCTGAAAAGAGGTGCTTCAGCTATTAGGCAGTATGAGAAAAATGATGTGTTTTTTGAACATGAAAACATCTAAACCTATTTTAGTAAACACACTAAATAAAATTATCAACCTTAAAATGGGCATAATATTTCTCATTTAATATATTACTGCCCTTTCACAAAGGATAGGTGTTAGGACAAAGCATGGAGTACAGCCTTATTGCAACTCGCAGTTGTACTTAGGCACAGCTATGCTTCGGACTGAATGCTAATGTTACGCAGGTATAGGTGTATGTTTAATGTGTTAACTATCTTAGTAATGCATTTTAGCATGCTAACATTTGCTAATTAGTAGTGCTGTCAGTTAAACGCGTTGTTAACGGCGTTAACGCAAACCCATTTTAACAGCGTCAATTTTTTTATTGCGAGATTAACGTTCTTTTTGGCCTAGCACTTTGTAGTTTTTTCACATGCTGTTGTAACAACTAGTAACGTTAGAAAAACTACAACACCACACCAGATCTAGCTAGACCGGAAAGAAAACAACAGGCACGCCGCACACACTTGTTTAAGAGTAGTAGACGTTACGCTTTGAGTGGATGGCGAGCGTGAGGTGCCCGAAATGGATGCCAATAATATTCTGAATGGAAAGTTTACTTTTAAAAAGTTGCCAAATGGTTCCATTGACAAGACCAAAGTGATCTGTGTGTTTTGTCGTTTGTCAGCACGTCCAGTCTGAAATACCACTTGATGGCCAAGCACACAGCTGATGCGAATTCTCCGCCCCCTCGAAAAAGCTAGGCGACAATGGATGATTTTTCAATAAAAACAACATTTGCACAAAGCAAGCCGCTCCACTTTTCCATGTTGATAAGAGCAATAAAATGAGAAAAAATAATGGGACAAAAAGAAATCAAGGGACATTTAGAATAGATAAAAATGTGCGATTAATTGCGAGTTAACTATGACATTAATGCGATTATTCGCGATTAAATATTTTAATCATTTTACAGCACTACTAATTAGCAATAAACACAACTCCTGATGGGAATGGCATTAGTTTTTCCAGGTGTTTGATCATAAACCAAAGTATTAGAAACATTATCTGATGACAACACATAATCTGATGGTGGTGCTAGATGTAAAGTCAAGGAATCACCAAAGTTACTCTGATTCATGAATGTCTGTTCCACATATTTAGCAATATATCCAAAAGTTGCATGGCCATTTTTCTCAAAATGACAAATATGAACCTCATGCGCTATAGAAATGTGCTATAGAAAAGTCACTGGGTCATCAAAGTCTGTTAGGCTTCGTCCTCTGTGAACCATGGAAGTCTGTACAAAATGTCATGGCAATGGACCAAAGTAGTGAATCGACAGACAGATTGACATTCACAACCCTAGAAACATGCCAAGCAAGCATGTCTAAAAACAACTGCAGAATAAAGGCTGAACTGTTGTTTTTTAATGATCCTTTTCTCTCATTGGTGAGTACATGTCCCACCCCCTCCTCCCCTCTTTGGTCCTCTGTGGCCTTTCATTAACTCTGTTTCGTGGGACAATCGGGTACATCTGTTTCTCAGCATCAGATGGACTGGCTTTCCATTTGAGAATTCATCACCTCCAAAAGGATGCCTCTATTTGCCCTCCATCTTGGCTTGGCTGTATCATAGCCTGTCTGCCTGTCTTCATAGCTGATGCCAAGTCCTTACAGATGCTTCATCATTTCCTCTTTCCAATGCCAGTCATTTTTCAGTCTTTTTCTTTTTTTTTATGTATTATTATTATCTGCCCAGAGCGGGCACTCTCTGAAGGAGGCCTGTTTGTGCTACAGCCAGGCTCACAGCTATTTAGTGGCTCTGCTGTTTTCCTTTCTTCTCCCTCTGTTCAGTTTGAATACCCCAGGGAAATTTGGCTGTGTCTCTGATATCTTTTTTGTCCTGCTGACCAGTTTTTATTTCTCCTCATCAGTTTGCCGTGTTTCAAGATACTGTCACTGTCATTTTGATGCCTAATTTTCTCCTAAGTGATTTTACTGTAGTGCTGTCCAAAAGATATCTATTACTATCATTGTACTCATCAAACAATAAAAAGTAAAATAAATTGAAACATAAATTTGGTAGAAATGTGTACCATACTTTTTTACCTTGTGCCTATTTAGAATATTACACTACATTTTAACATTTAATTAGCTTTCAGAGAGATAATGATATTGTAGACATTAAGAGGTTATAGAATAATAAAGCGAACGCATCAGAACTTCAGACATCTGAGCAATGTGTAGCAGAAGGCAGGGGGTGGGATAGTTAGTGCCAACATCCTATTAAAGCTGTGCCAATGCTGTTTGAGTGAAACGACAACACAGTCTTGTGCGACTGGTGAGTTATCTGCCATCTGGACTCAACTGAAAGACTCAAGTGTCTTAATTGGACACTAGTAAAGAAGCTCTTACTCCGTTCAAATGAAGCAAAGGTTCATGCTCATTGCTGTTTCCTCTGACAGTCCCACAGTTTCTGACAGTTAAACCTTCTACATAGATGATATGACAATGCTGACAACGATGATGGCAATAATCATTGTCAGTGTCATCATGTTGCACTTTAGTAGTTCTGCAGGCTGGATAATTCAGGATTTTTATGACAAAAAACTCGAACAGCAAAATTGTCAAATGGTGAAATAATGGTGATGGATACAGTGGTGACAGTTGTGTTCTTATTTTAGCTCTGCAAGAGTGAATAATGAGGCTCTCCCTTCTCTGCCCCCCTCCTTTCCTCCCTCTGCCCTTTGCTTCAGGTCAGAACATTGCGTTCCCCCCGGTGGCTCTGTGGGTAACTGTTGGCCTGGCCGTGTGTCTGCTGGTTTTGCTCATTGCCTTGGCTGCTGTGTGCCGCAGGAAGATCAAGGAGAGCTGCGAGGAAGCCAGGAGAGAAGGTATGGAATGGAGTGTGGGGAGGGGGGTGGGCACATTCAACACCAGTGCATATTCTCACAGGGAGTACAATTCATTGGTGATGACTCTCTTGATTTTCAAGAGAGTCATCACCAATGAATTGTACTACCATGTTAATGTTAATCCTCAAGGTTAGATAAAAGCATGTTTTGGGGCTGTCTTGCCTTCATTAGGGGCAATATAAAAAGTTAATCTCATAACTGTGACAACTTTGGATATACATGCACAAAAAGATAAAGTGGTTTTCTATTTTTTCTTAGACTGTGTTGGCCTACTGCGTACACAGTTCAAGGGCTTGCTGAATAATGGATGCTAACCTATCATGCTCTCAAGCCCTTTCAACCCTTCTCAGGGCCTTAATTAAAATGCAGAATGACTCCTTAAACTCTTCACATAGCAGGCCAGTAGATGATATGCATAATTGCGACGTGTTGCCTAGATCATGTGGGAGGCACAACGAGACCGAGAAAGATAGAGCAGAAAGCAGTGATGAGATGTTAACTGCTCAAGGAACTTTGAGAATCCAGAGGGAGTTCTGCTTAATGCGTATAGGCAGGATCTCGGATGGTGGGACACATATCTTCGGCAAAGAGGAACATCATTACTCGGGTCCAGTAATTAGCGTTGCGGAATAGCTGAGGATCGCCGCAAGTGCAAAGAGAAAAAGTTTTGAAATGAGATAGATAGTGCAGAGCCACCAGCTCTGCTGTAATGAGATCCGCTCAGAGTGGAGGAGACATTTAAATAAAGGTCAGCCAGTGTCTGCACCAGGGCCCAGAGGTTTGAAAATAAATATGGAAGTGACACAGACTCAGAGGAAAGAGTAAATAGCTCCATGGAACATATGAAATCAAATGAAATGGAAAGAGAGAAATATAATGCAGTTCCTCCCACGGGCAAAAGGCTCCTAGGGTTGTGGGGCCTTTTTCTTCAGTGGAGTGGATGAGGAGCCGCGTCTCTCGCCTGCAGCCCTAACACCGAAGGCGGGATTGATTATGTGGTCATCCACTGTCCGCCTCATTGAAATGTTAAGTCTTATTCTGTCTCCTGCCAGCAATGCTTCTGCAGTCTTTGGTGTACAAACCTGAAGAGTGGGAACGCTGACTTATTCACATATCATGCAGACTCTTAGACCCCTGATAGAATGATACTGTATGAATACAGATGTGAAGGGGCTTAAAATAGGATTGCCATGCACATATCCCGAGCTGTGGGGAGGGCAGGAAGCAGGGAAGTGCAACCTAATTGTGGTTGTCTTATCTTTTAATGGCGTTCTGGGGTATGGCCAGATTGAAGTTGACTCTCTCTTCACTGTGTCTGGGTAGTGAGGGTGGAGGGGTCAGTAAAAGTGGAGAAGTGAGTAAGTCATTTTTCTTCCCTGTCATAATGTATGTGGAGAACCTGAATGTGTATCATAACAGAGCAGAGCAGCTTGTGGTATTGGAGTTGGAAGTGAAAGCTCAATTCCAGGGGCAGTGTTGTATCTTAACACCAGCATGGCTCTGGTCTCTCTGATATATATTTTTTTCTTTCATCCCTCTCTTCTGTGACTGTCCTTCCTTACATAATGACTGTGACTGTGGATCTAATATATGCTTTCAGTGACCTATCCAGGGCTGCTGTTCCATTTCTCCCAAGCTCATTTTGCATTTAGATAAGCATGTGATTTAATCAGAGCAACGCTTGGAGATCATGTGTAGGTGACATGGGACGGATCTCCCCTGTGTGATGGATGAAAGTCATAAGGAAAGCAGTGTTTCCCCCAGGGGTTTTTACCAAGGGGACGTACATATATTTCACAGGGGCTAACCCTCAGTTTTACTGCGGACCAAATGCTGTGATCGCCTTTGCTGCATTTGACTCATTTGAAATACAGACATGTAGATTTTTTTCACTCCCAGTCTATGTAGAAAAAGCTCATAAAAAAAATTATAAGATCCATGATCAAAATATTGGCAAAGGGCTTTAAGCAATTTCTTTTCATTTTTGTCATCAAGAGCTGATATTGAAAGGGAGAGAAAATGAATTAAAACCTACGCAGCACAAACACTGCTGTCATTAAGCCTTATATAGCCTCCTAGTATGCACAAAGGATTTAAAAAGAAGACGGCCCTGCTGTTTCTAGGGTGCAAGGATGAATTAATTAGGCTCACTAATCATTGTATTTATAGTACTATAGGTTTACTAACTGGGGCCATTTGCTTTTGCTTACATTTGAAACACTCATGAAGTCACAGCAGTGTTAGAGGAGATATAGCAGCAGTCCTGCACCACTTCTGTGTAGGGGAAGCATAGAGGGGAAGAAGGCAGGATGATGAGGAACAGTAACACTCTTCTGGCTTCAGTGAGTAGCCGTTTCTGTCCCCTGACTCTCTCGTCTTTTATGTGGTCTTTCCAGCTTTTGCGCTTAAGCCATAACCTCCCTTCTTACCTCCCCACACATTTAGGATGCAGCCAATAGGGGCATAAAATTGTAACATTCTCAATGTACAAGGAAAGCAGTTCTCACTCCCTGCCCTGTGGATGCCCTCGTCTTCACCCTGACTTTAAGGTGCCTTTAAATGAGCCTCACTCTCCTATCAAAGCCCTGCCCTCCAAGGTATTTCCACTGCTGCCACAGTGGTGGGACTGTTGGTCGATTTGGAGGTGTTGAATGAAGCAGTGGAGGTAAACAAGCTCACACATCTGCGGATGTTACTCCACAATTCTGGAGATGTGAAGTAGTGGTGAAGGTGATTTTGCTCTCAACATTATTAACAGGTTAACTCAAAAATTGCATTCTAGAAGTTTTATGTTGAGGAAACAGAGGAAAAAAATCCACCAAACTCTGAAGCTGTACAACCAAAGACATGTTTTGAAATGACTAATGATAATGTGTCACAATAATCTGTGCACATATACTGTGAATACAACAGTAATATGTGAAAATCTGATTTCAAAACACAACATAATACAGAGGAAGAGAAACTAAAGAATGAGGCGTGGGTAGATGAATGCATATACAGGCTGTTTGAATCTAGAAACTCAGCATGTTCTGCTACTGTAATGATAAGGATTTTTGCTTAATTTCCCCAGAGGATTATAGTCTCTGCTGTCAAATTCATGGAAAATCAGGCAAACGTACAGTAATATAAACAAAGCAATTGTGTTGGCTTGACGTTTAATTTTGTACAATTATCAGTCTAATCATGTATCATCCACTCGAGATCCACTATTTAGTGACTAAATAGTGGATCTCGAGCCCAATTGTGGTGAAAGTGGTGTCATAGAATTAATATCAGCTGCTTGGATACTCTGTCTCCTATTTTTAGCCTGTATGTGTGTGCGCACATGCAGACCACGTGTGCATATACGTGTGACAGCCATCACTGAGTTGCTTCTCTAACTCTGTTGACAGTGGGTTTGCAGAGAGCCAGCAGCTAAAGCCTAATGTGATTACTGTCTTTGTGAAAGGGCTGGATAAGAGGTTAAGGGGTGGGTATGGCTCTGCGTGTGTGTGTGTGTGTGTGTGATATGGTCGGGGTACCATTGTGTGGAGCTTGGTTGTCATATAGCTCTCTCATCGCAGCTTGTCCTTTGAGCTGTGAAGGATCAGCTCACCATAGGCTTGTGATGAAGTGACTACATTGTCTGCCTTGCCTTTGTACTGTGGCTCCCACTGATAATGACTCCTCTGTCTTCCCACAGCTGAAGAGGCCAAGGAGCTGGAAGAAGAGGAGTCAAAGACAGGTCAGCCAATCCACACCTGGTCAAGCCTCAGCCTCTGTGTGCATCAGGGACCTGCAGTATGTTTTAGCTAGCATCAGTCAGGAAACAGCAGCAGTCGAAAATCCACTTATTAAAGTTTTGCATCCTTTATCTAAAACTAATATTGATATATTTAAATATGTTTAATCTTTTGCATTCAGCACTCTGAGCTGTGTAATCATGCAAGGCTGTAAACACTGTCAGGAACAGGCAACACTGCATTTTATCCACTGAAACAAGAATTAGTGCTGTATCAAGTGGGCAGGCCAACCAGACTGAGCCTGTAAACAGGGCAATTAATTCTTTACAGATATAAAATCTAATTTAAAACTTAATCTAGGATTAGATTGTAACACATATGTGATGTTATTAACTGTGTGCAATGCACCGAAGTTACAAAAATATCAAATAAAACAATAACCACCCACATCCAGGTGGCAGGATGGTAGGGACCCAACAGAACAAGTAGCTGAATGTTAAGTTTGTTTACTGAAGTGTGAGTGAACGCTGATGAAGCATGAGTGCACGTGAGAAGTGAGACCAGCTTTAGGCTCCAAATCCATTCAACACAGCAACCCAGTGGCATAACTCTTCCACTGTGTATGTGTGTGTGTGTGTGTGTGTGTGTAAGTGTTTGAGGCAGAGAGAGGGAGACGGGCGCACTAATTTAGTGATGCCAACAAGCTGTTTTACATTATACGTTCCCCCAAAGCTACAGCTATAACAGTGAAATCTATCTTGTCTATAAATTTAATGGTAACAAGTTCCACAAGTTCCAACACACACCAAATGCCAACAATAGCACTGCCGTGTCCTGCACTCAAGTGATCCTGTTTACCAAGCCGAATTGATTTTGCACTGACTCCTGGCTGAAATGTGTTATGAATATTGTTGTCACTTGGAATAACTTGCTTTGAATTTTTATGATGAATAAGCTAGCAAAATGGACAGACACCACTTGTGACAGTGCTTGCACCACTTCATGCAACACAGAGTTTGGAAAGACTATTCTTTCAGATCTAACTAGTTTAAATCACTCAACAAAGGCAATGCCCAGAAGGAGCTATATTCCATATTTAGAAATTTTGCCCCTCGGTAAAGAGACATTTCACAACTGTTCAAAGCCAAGCATTTAAACAAGGAAATAATTATGAACAAGCCTAAGAGTCTACAGCCATGCTTGCGGCTCTGTGAGGCTGCGTAAGGTAGAGTAATGCCAGAACCAGGACAAAATACTTAAACGTGTGCTTCTTTTTCTGTGATAAGAGTGATGTGATATTTTGCTTAGTATGACCTTATGAGTCCAGAATTAATTTCGCCATTAGCAAGCAGAGCGAGCTTCCTCTCCCTGCCCATTCTCAGCGACTACCCCTCACAGTCCTGAGCAGTTCTCCCTCAAGCGTTAATGTCATTAGAGTTATTCTTTTGACTCCTTCTTTAGTCTGATTGAATTATTTAGCCTTTCTGTGAACGGCAAAGTTAATACCATGTGATTTTAATAAGCTGAGAGGTGAAGGAGAGTCTCTGAGTGAAGGGGGACAATGACTTTTATTCTCTAATGCCTCTCTCATGAATGTTTCAGAAAGATCTGCGCAGCCAGGAGCGGGGTCAGCCATCCTGCTACTAGTGAGACTTAATAGTTCAGCTTTAGCTATAGGGGCAGGGCAAAGGAGAACAGAGCTAGAAGACTGTAGCATGCCTGTACTCCAGCGACAAGACAGCAACTTGCAGCCACCCTTGCTCTCGCCGCCTCTCGTCATCGTCCATGCACCTGGTTGATCCAGGTGGACGTTATGGGCGGTGAGCTGGTGAAGTCGAGCTAATGGCTCTGCCTTCTGAGATCACTCTCCAAGCACTCCAGACAGGCAGCTTTGTTTTGCCATCTGGCTCCAATTGCGCTGACAAAGGCAGAGGTTCCTGCATGAGACAAAGGAGCTGAAATGAGCCCCACTTTAATAAACCCAGGATGATGGGGAGCCACGTTTGTGTGTTATCTTAATGAGCTGTCCAAAGGAGAGCGCGCCTCCCCTTTCAAAGCCAGCCTGATTTGAACAATAACCGGTGATAACTAGGGACCTGGGCTCATTCATTTGCAGTGGGGTAGGATCCCTTTGTTGCCTTTTACAGCAGAGGCAAATAATGTTTAACAAACAGTGGAGCTCAATTTCTGGATTTATTTGCAGGTGCTAAAGCCAACAGCAACCCCTTCACACACACTCACAGGTCTACACATGCACACACATGCAAAGAGACACACACACCACGCACAGAAAGAAGTGTGTACAGTTCTTGTTGGCTTTATCCCTCAACTCCCCACCTCCTCCCTGAAATGTGTTAAGTAATCTGAGCATGATGTGCTGTTTAGAGGGGGCTGCAGTCACGCAAGTGCAGCTCCTCCTGTCAGAAGCTGGCTTTAGTTTGTGTGCACTAGCCCCTGTCTCCCTAAATCCTGGACTCCAAGGAGTCAGGCCTTAGCAACAAGGCCCTGGAAGAGAGTGTTAGTCAGTGACCCAGTTCTTTCATAGACAAAGAATTGTCGGGAAGAACAATTTGACACGCCCTCAGAATAGGGAGTGCCATGTGAAAAATGGTTTTATTAACCCTTCTTAACCGAAGCGAGCTCCTTTGAAGGTGGAAGGTTAGGGAATATGGGGCCTAAAAAGCTGAAAGCAGAAAGAAGCTCCAACCTTCACTATCTTCTGACTCCTTCATGCCAAGGCCACCACTGAAAGATGGATAGTAGTTGCTAAAATCATATTAGAGCCTCAAGCCCAGTAGCTCATCACCCTAAATGTTTTGTTGATTTTGAGAAGCTATCTAACTGAGGATGTGTAAAGGTGACTTTTAAGCAGACAGACAGAAACAAGGACAGCTGTACCAGAGTCAAAGTCACCTCTGCGCTTATTATATCCCCCTCTGTCCTTGATGTCTATTGAGTTATTCACATTGCAATGGAAATATAACACCTTCATGCACGTGGAACATAATATTCACTTTATGTCTCTCATGGGAATGAGTGTTGCATGTTGAGCGAATGAATGAAGTGTGAATTATAGCTGTTTGTTCCTTGGATAAATATGGCTGTTGGAATATAATCCATTATACAGTCAATTTGACTATAGTTAGGAAATTGTTTTTACATGTCCGTTTAACCATAAAAACAGCATTGCAGGGATAACTAAGAATGAGATAAGAAATTACTGTAATAAATTTGGTTTAGTGAAATCAGGTTGTTACCTAATCTTGACTAATTGATTGATTGATTGAAATACCCCCTGCTACGGAGCAATGTTTTTACAAGCGAGTCACATTTTGTTTATTCGCTGCCAGTGTGATTCACATCCTGCAGTTGGATTCATACTATTCCACTGATCAACAGTTGGTGGCAGTGATTCGCCAACAAATTGAGCATGGAACATGGATGTAAACAATGCAGTATTGAAAATGTTCCTCCACAGGGCACCTTTAAGTTAGTTTGGTTTTCCTACTCACTGTGTTGACATACATTTACGAGCCCAATAGGAAGCAGGTGGTTAAGTTATGATGGCGTACTGAAACACCTTCTTAGAAGTGGATTCTTGGAATACATGACATTACCAGACCAAGCCTTATTAAAAAGTGGTATGCAGTATTCTTATTACATTACCCAGTTTGAGAGACCTGTAGGTCACTAATATACCATTCCACATTGCTACAGTTCAAACTGAGGGGGCCTTGGAAAGCAGCCCCAGGCAGCTCTGTTCGACATGTCCTCCCTTTTTTACTGGCACCACATACTCATCCACTGGGCTCTCCCAGCGGTCACACATTACTGACTAAAGATATGTAAATAGAACATTCATGTTGCCTTCATTATTAGATGTGGGTCACTGGATAACTTCAAGAGCGCTAATTAAAAGAGCTCCCTGCACACTATTGCTTAGTAGTTGCACACACATTATTTAAGCGCTGCACTGTTCCTCGCTGGTTCAGCACCATACAGTAAGCTACGTGTTTACTACTGTGTTTTCTCCAAGGGTAAACCCTGAGAGATGATGATTTGGTGTTGAAGGCCAAGCAACACTGATTGGATTATAATGGCAATTATAAACCTCCTATCACATGAATCATATAGGTTTCCCTTAACGCTAAATAATCTGCTGTAATTATGTGTAATTTCCTGTGCTTCTTCCTCTTGTTATTTCTATATTTTAATTCTTTCAACACGAGAAAATGTTTTATTACAATTGGAGAAACATTTTTCTCTTCTTTGCTTAGTTTGGGAAGGAACTCATCAAAGATGTGCTGCACACTGAGCTACTTTTGCAACCTCTCAGAGGTTATCTGCTGCTCTGCGAGGAAAAGGCCACCTGATCATTGTCAGAAGAGATAGAAGACAAATAGAAGCTCCTAAATCATTTGGAATAATGAGTGTTGTCACAGTTAATAAAAGCAGTCAAACCACTCAGTGCTGTGCATCACAACAACGGGCCAGTCCCACTGCTGGCTGGTTTGCATATTAGACAAAAAGTAACAGTGTAAAGAGTGCTTTTGTGAGAGGACAGGGATACTGTAGGAGGGAAGGCAATCCTTTTCCTGGGATGAATCCCCCTGTACAGACGGCATTTACATCCTCCTTCCATCCAACCCCCCTCCCCCCTCCTCACTCCCCCTTCTGCCATGTAATCTACGCTTCTCTGACGGCACAGCCAAGGCCCGGTGGGAGAGTGCCTATCCATCTCACTACCCCAATCTGCCTCCCCTGTTTGGTTCCACATGAGCACTCAGCTGCTGTGACTAATTAAATAAAGCGCTGTGCCCTCTGCTTCCTGTTAGCCATGGCAAGGTTGGTTCACAGAGATGGAGCAGAGGAGGAGGAGGAGGAGAAGGGGGTGTTGAAGGAGGAGGGGACACAATAACAACTACCAAGCCTGTAATGATGCTTTGGTCCATGACACAACAGACATGAAAGTTACACTGCTGACATGACCACTTTATTTATTGTATTGTTGCTGCATTGCTCACAAATCTTTAAATGATTTTGAGCTCAACCATTCATTCTTGTTTTGTTTTTTTTCTTCAGCCATGACACTACTGAAAAGCTAAGGCCAAGAGAATAATGGTGAGTATGATTTCAGTATGTATATATGTGGTGTTTTACACACACCTGTGTCTTTATGTGTTGCTCAGGTGTCACACTGTTTTTTCTCCTCATCACAATTGCCTGGCATTCTCAGCAGTAAAGCTCTGGAGGACACAGTATCTCTGGAGGCTCTGGGTAAGTGCTGCTGTAATGAGGCTAGGCTGCATTAATTCAGCAGACAGTCTGGAATATGAGAAGTCTTGACATTTTGATTTCAGGAATCACAGGGTCACTGGCTGATATGACAAATCTATTTCATTTTATCTGGCATGCAAACATAAATTTCCTGGCCTGCTCAAAGCCAATGTTAAGAGTCTGATTAATGGTAAACATTTAAGGTGTGAGTCAGGCAACCTGTCTTTCTTTCTGCCAGAAACTATGTGTATGCACTGTCATCCTCATGAAGTTTTCAATCTGCCAACTTTAGCTTGTTAGCAGCTGCAGCAGACCATTTTAGCGTTTACAATAGGAGCCTTACATAATAAGGTTATGCTATTAACATTATTATGTACATTGCTACATTTATATATTGGCAGCACAAATCATATTTTACAGTATGGTTTTCTGCTCAATAATGGGAAGTAATATATGCTTATTTTAAAAAATAAAATCCTCATGCTAATAAGACATAGTATTGTGACCAAACTTTCAGCACCATGGACAGTTCTTCTAGTTGAAGAAGGTTGTTGAAGGAAAATGCCAAAGTTAATGTCAGAATGGGCTGTCCACATTGCTTGTTGACGTAGATAGATTTCATTCTCTAAATCCCTCTAATCTTCTTTTTATAATTGTGTTGTTATATTTTCCTTATGGGACAGTCCATACTGGGGGGGGGTATGACCCTATCTGTAATCGAACTGTGGCCGTTGTAGATATATGCCATATATCTGTGCTGTAACCATGCAGCTAAATGGACGCTCTGACTTAGATAGATTTCAAGAGACTGCTCGATTTGAACTGTGGTCTGTTCTGGATTAGTGGCTGACCCAGATGAACAACCCGACAGAAATAAGACTGTTGATAACTGGGAACACCAACAAGCAGATTAGTAGCTGGATTCTCCCTGTAGGACACGTGGAGATGTGTAATCTGGGAAATGGTGTGACCAGACTGAGAGGAACCTTATCTGTAGATCGATACATGGAGTCGTCAAATAAAATATAGATGGAAGCATCTCTGGAATGACTGACCAGAGCTTCTTCAAAGCCTTCTGACTCCTGATATCACTGCATCTCGCTCTGTTGTGTGTTACCTTCTGCTGGGTGCATGATTAGGTGGAGGTAGAACATTTTGCTGCAGTGTGGCTTGACTCACCCATGAGTGGGCTAGTGTAGACTAGTCTGTCCTCCCTCTTTTTGCTGCTATTCACCCCCATTTTTCCAGACCAAAACACATCCAGATGTTCTTTTGAGACCAGGATATTTATGTTTGGACTGTTTCTACCTTTTGGAGGAGTCTAAGGGCCTTCAGTTGTACTGTGCTATTTGAGTATCATCACCTGGTGTGAGGCATCTTTCTTGTGTTGGACTTTCTTTCTTACTTCTTCAGGCTCCAGTTGTGAGAACAGTTTCTCTAGACTATGTTTGGATATTGGATAGCTAGTTGTTTCTCAAAGAGTAAGGCTGTGTACTCTGTATAAGGCAGAGTAATGGCTGTATTCCCCATTTTGTAATGACTCCACTCTAGTAGCAGGCTGACCTGGACCAAGAGCAGCAGCAGTAATACAGTATTATGCATTAATGCAGGCAGGCAGGCATTACCAATAGTGATAGGAGCCAGGGTGCTGGCACTGTTGGACCCTGTGGCCCTTGGGAGAAGAATAGGACACCCCCAGCACCCCCATGTTCACTCAACCATTGACACCCTGTGTCAGGCACTATATCCCTCCCTGGGCACAGCACATGGACCTCTATAGGCCAGGAAATCCCCAGACCTTGGAGCTGTTTTGGGAAAGCTAGAGTAACCACCAAAGGACAGGAGTTGTGAGGGCAGGGGATATTTTTGTGTTCTGAGGAGAATAATTTTTTTTTCAATTTTTTTGAGACATAGCTGTTTTGATATTTGATGCAGATATTTATAGAGGCACTCCATCAATTTTGATTTGACAGATATTGAAGTCTTTTGTCACTATGGTGCTGGAGTGATAAGAGGATGGTGTAGCTGGTCTGTCTTTTGTCAGAAAATGAGACACAATGTGATACATTCAGCTGTTAGTATTTCCTGCTGTTCAGAGCAATTTAAAATGTATTCTGCTAATAAGGGAAACCCGTGCTAGCCATCCCCACATGCTTAGACTTCACAGAATCTTAGAAGCAGAACATACTTGATGTACTTTGTATATTAATGTCCATGGCTGTGGACTGTTGTGGAGGATATAAAGAAAAATAAACTGGATGTTACTGCTCAGTCGCACCACTGTCTGTGAGTCTGTTACTTTACTATCTTTCATTATCATACAGTATTGACCCGCACAGGATCTGTTCTTCACTGTGCTTCTAACTCCTACTTTAATAACCAGCAGTCTGGTGTCAGTAAGTGTGAATACTTTTTATTACAAGGTTGGACAGTTACAGCTTGTTTTTATTATACCCTGATTGGTCATTGCCATAAAGCCACGGCATGCAGAGTGAGTAGAAGATGATGGAAGGTGCAGAAAGTAATTTCCTGTAACTAGCCAAAATAAAGTCTGGCCAGTAGGAGTCAAAGAGAGGACATTTGTCATTACTGTAGTATCCACTGACCTTCACCGAGACTGTTAATGCTAGGTAATATCCTGCAAGCCCCTAGACCTCTCCACTGCTGAATCATCCTGGATCAATTATTCTAATATTTGTGTGGCAGTTTTGCTATCGATTAATGCATTTATGCAGAGTGTGGCATATCTTATTTAATAAAGCAAGGCTCTGCATTTAATTACGTTGTTTTTAGAGTCAGGCGGCACTTTGTTTTCATAAACCTTTGCCTTATCGATACACGTGTTCATTTGTGACTTATGTTTATCTGCTCAAACTTTTATTGTTTCATTACTAGCAGACCAGCACAGATAACATAGTAAATGGCTATCTGCAGCAGACTCAATATTTTGTAGAGTGCTCACTGCTATTGTTGCCATCTTTAGTGGCTCAGACTTACTGTGTTATTGTAAATGCTACATACTGATCATTATGGCAAGTTCTGGAAACTTTGACAAGAGTAGAAGTAGAAATGTTCAGTGAATAAAATTTGGAATCTGCATTTTAGGCAAAGGAATTTCCCCTGCACTTAAAAATTAGGTTTTCTTTTTGTTCCTACAGTTGGGTGTTTGAGATTCATTGTGCAGAATGATGTACGTGCAGAGTTTGACACTTGAAGGATGTTTTCACTTTCATCTGCTGAAAGTGAAAGGTTTCTCTGTGCTCATTGAAAATCTGATTTTAAGGGGCGGGTACTACAAGCATGATTTAGTTCACAAATAGTTCTGAAGTCATCCCAGGTCCAGTAATCAACTTATAAAAGTGTGATGTAGAAACATGAATCCACCAGTGCACATACAGTGAGGACGAACTTGCAGTGAAGTAAGAGACATTTTGTGTCCAGCAGGAAAACTTTAGAAATGAACACAGTTTGCATATTTATAGTTTCTGGAACTTTTAATGAGTTAGAAGAAGTAGTTTTTTAAGGATTTCAATGTGGAAATAATTTGTGGAAAAAACACATCAGACACACATTATTGTTTCAAGCAGACAGTTTGTATATGTATAAATATATGTCTGGAGAGGAAGCAAATCTTTATTCATCACCTGTATGTACTGTATGTAGGGGGTTGATGGTTGCACTAATTGTCCCTCCTCCTCATACTGCATGTCAAGACTACATAAATGTACAAATCCACAATCCGTTACACTAATGTAATGCTTCAGAACACTAAGTGAGTCAACTGGTTAATTTCCAAAGCTATCATCTTTTTTGTTTAAAATACCTTGTTTGTATTTGACAGTGGAAGGATACTGATATACTCACTGATAGTTTTACAGTGCCTTATGAGGAAAAAAAAACGTAAAATCAGTGTTATTGTTCTTTGTGCACCAGAGTTAATGAATCCCGTCACACAATTGACTTATCTGACAAGCAAAAATGCCTTAGACATTTTAACATTGTCTAGAGAAATGTTACAACTTCCCAGGTAAAATTCTGCATTGGACTGCGAGACCTTTGTTCATAATCTACAATGATTTTCCATGTAAAGGGGAAATAAGGAATGGTTTTGTGCAGAGGTTTGGCCTCGCCAGAGAGGGCTGCAAATGAGAAGAGAATACATATTCAAAGGGACACATGAAGGGAATAAAGGAAACTGAAATGAGGAGCTGCACGGATGGTCCCGGTCATCTACCTGATGACTTTCGATGAATTCCAATGAGAGCGCAGATTACATTTTGGTTACAGATCAGCCCTATAGGTGCAATTAGTGCAACATAATGGCCCTTTTCAGGCTCCTTCATCAGAGTTGTGAATTATTGATTTAATTCACCCCTATATATTCACTTAAACACTGGACTGTCATGCTAAGAATATATCTCATTGTTATACTTGTTTGAAGTAATAGCTCAGGGTTTACTCTGTCATGGTTTTCTAAGTACAGCCTGCATATAGGTAGTCCTCTTTCAAAGGATGGGGAAGAGATAAAGGGGTAAAATAGAGTGAAATTTAAAAGGAGAAAACTAACCTAAATGTATTTTAAGTCTGCTGCAGTCAGGTGTACGAGATGGGATGTGAGCTCTAGGGTGATGTGATTTTTTTCGTTGGTGAAAAGAAGTTTGAAGCAGTAGGACAGAGTAAACAGAGGAGAGCTCCTCCAGTTCCCCTCTGCTGCATGTGGCAGGTGAGGCCCGGCAGACACTGATGATGTCAGACAGGACACTTACGTTGGACTCTCTCCAGGGAGGTGTCTTGAAGTGGAGTTTGACTCACTATTCCAGTATGTCTGATCTCTGCATTATTTATGCTTTTGTCTCAGCCATTTATCAGCAATTTTATACCTCGCAGCCTCATTCTCCAGTACATCTCCTGTGATGGAATGGGCTGCAGCGATGATAGCCTCTGAGGGACACCAATAACCGAATATAGTAGCTCATATTGATATCAGAAAACTGTGGAATGGACAAGTGTGCTGCGTAGCAGTCTCTGCATACTGTTGAGAACCTTGGCAAACATCCATTCACATCAAAATAGTGCATTGAAAAATAAAATATAATCAGGAAAATGCTGTGCTGGCTCCACTTTCTTACCTTTATATTAATTTTTAGGACATGGAACTGGTAATATGTGAGCTGTGGTAGGAGTTGCACAGCAACTGAATCACTGATCAATGACAGCTAATGAACACAGCAGGAGTTCTGCTCTGTTTGCCTCTCGACAGAGAGCTGCCTTCTCCAGAGAGCTCTTTTTCTCCTGTTTTTGCCAGAAAAGCACAGGAGCCTTCATTGAAACCAACTGCCTCTGGGCTCAATTAACTACCATAGATTACTCATAATGCAGATGAAAGACTGTATAAGATCAGCGGTGTGGTGATGTTGAAAATCACACACAAAGGGAAGTGCACACATGGATACTGAGACATTGTGATGCTGAGATATGCCATGAAAGTATAGATGATAAAAAGAGCTCCATAAGAACAAGCAAAATAACAAGCAAAATAATGGGCCTCATGCAGCAACATTCTCTTTAATTTCACTTATATTTTCTCTTCATTTTCTGTTAAGAGAATATATAAGAGAAGTCAACTCCAGATGAACCAAACGTTCTTAATCATCCAAATCTGCTCTTACCCAGGTGTCCTGAATGACGAATCCCACTTGATCATTGGAGGCATGTGGCAGATTGTATGTTATTAGCATAGGTAACGGCCCCTAAAATCTATATAAGAGAAGGTGGTGTGCCGTGTGCAAATACTGATACAGATGGTCAAGAATGACAGACTGAGGCTGTCTTATAACATTTAGAAGTATGGACATCAGAAGGAGCAATGAAAACTGATATATAAAAGGAAAAGGCTGCTATGGATTTGTAGTCTCTATGATAACCTGTAGTATTGTTAAATGTTGCATACATTTAGATGCAAGCATACCCAGCAACACCTTTGACCCCACAGCAGAGTTAATGCAGCCGATGTACGTTGTTTTGCACTGCTGTAGCGGGCAATTTAGAGCTCCATGGTGACGACCTGCTTTGCTTTGTGTGTGGTCACCAGGCCATGGCCTTTGTCATAACATATTAGCATCACTTAATATCCTTCACTCAGGCCGGTCACTGTTTCCCCACCTACCCAGCGTGTCTGAAGAACCAAAACACTCTTTCTGAACAGACGTAAAATTTAAGAATTCAAGAACCTTGCACATTCTAAATGTTCCACTCACCATAACCAACAATGTGTGGCATATAGTTTTTAAACCTACATTAGTCCAATTGTCATCAGTAGGAGCTGGCGTTTCTAGATGGCTTATTGTTTAAAAAGGATAGCTACCAAAGAGAATATGTTCAGCACCAGATAATTTACAGATGGCACGGATCTAAATACTGAACAGCCCCACCCACTGTGATGAGAATATGCTAAACATGTTGCTTACTGAACGGCAAGATGACTTTTATGTGTAGCTTTCTGAAGTGTGCACACATTATTGTAAAACTGCAGAAGAAGTTGCACATGCTCATATAAAATGAGCATAAACATGCACTACTCTGCATGCTTAATAAAGTTTTTTTGTTTTTTTGTTTTTTTTAGGTAAGGAGGACCATAATCAAACATGCGGAACAAGTCGTTAAAAATCAAGTGCACAGAAATGATGCTGTTGAAACCCATTTGATAAGACTGACTTGAGAATTTCATTCCTTCAACTAATACATCGGGGTTGATTGTTTAATTGTGTCACATGCAGCTGATTAGTGGTGTATTAGTGAATATTCATCCTGTCAGTCGGCTAGAAATAATGTTTTTGCTCTCATTTGCTCTGGTTAGACATTATTTTAGGTGACCTGTGTATCCAGGTCACTGTTTATCACTTATGGCTTTTTTCATCTTTGTTTCCAGTCTGTGGTGTGGTGTTTTAATGTAAGCAATTACCCGATTGTCTGTGTCATTTCCATTGCTCCATTTTAAAATCTATGACATTGGCAACAACAAGGTGTAGAGACGCAGTAGGGTGAACAGTAATTGTGCATCAGGCAGCAATGGCATATTGCTATCATAATAGGTCATAATGGGTACCACACTATTTTTACACATCATGAAACATTATTCTACATTGTTAAAATTAATGCAAAAAATAAAAAAAACGAAAAGATTGTAACTGATGATTGTGGTGTCATTGCCAAGTGCAGCATTGACCTTTGTGGATGCCCATGATGGGCTTAAGTGTGCAATGAAATGAGGATGAGTATAAACTCGTCGATGTAAACATGTCACAGTCCTTCAGCCGTTGCTCAGCTTGTAGGGTGACAGTCACCTTCATGCTGCATCAGTTCACTGCACAGGTGGAGGGTGGTCTCTTGGGTTGTCCTCCTGTGTGACTCCTATAATATTCATCCAGATTAACATACTGAAGATGTAAATGGTAAAAGGTAAATGATTGACTTGTATTACGAGGTGGCCGGCATTCTGGTGTGAGCGGAGAATAAACTGTAACTCTTTCTTTTTCCCCTCCTTCTACCTTTCTCCTGGCACTGAGTCACGTCGCCTTTGGGGCTTACCACAGGAGTCTCTTCAAACGATCCTTTAGACTGAAGTGAAGAATCAAGATTAATGCACTTCCACGTCCCACCCAGGCTCCAGGGGGAAAAAGTCTTATAATTAACACCAGGGGGGCTGTAGGCTGCTTTTGGAGAGAGGTTGAGGGTGGGGTACCTCAACCATAGAAAAAGAGCTGATAAAGGTGTAAGATTTTTAGAGTGTGATGTATGCTGCTGCTCTGGAATAACACTGGAGTGGGAACAGAAGGACCTGTCAGGCACCTCACTCTGGCTTATTGTTATTGGGACAAAGTAGAGGGGCCTGTAGCAAGAGCTACAGCATTACTGCATCATTCATAGTGATCATTGTTATACATTGTGACCTATGTGAATTATGACTGAGGCAGACAACTTTTTTTCCAGCTTGAAAAACACCGTTTTCTCTTAGTAGTTGGTTAGCTTTGATCATCTAACAAAGACTGCAAACTTACTCTTTTAATAATAGCTTTAGAAGACATTAAAGATCCCCTGCAGACATGTATTTAGACATGTATAAAAATAGCCTTCTTCAGACAATTATGTGTGTCTTATATTTCTTCTCCACATAGAAGTACATTTTCCACATTAAAATCCTTGAAAAGACATGTATTCCTTCTACCTCATTAAAAGTCCCAGAATCTATGAATATGCAAATTCTACAGATTTCTAAAGTTTTCCTGCTGGACACAAGATGTCTCCTACTTCACTGTGAAGTCTGTTCTCAGTGTATGTGCGCTGGTGGCTTCAACTTTCTACATCACACTGTAGAAATAGTAGTATAGTGCAACAGGGTGGACGTCCAAATTATTTATGATGTCACAAATCGTGCTTGTAGGCCCCGCCCCTTAAAATCAGCTTTTTAGTGAGCACAGAAAAGCGTTCCACTTTCAGCGGATTCATTTGAAAACATCCTTCTGGTGTCAAACTCTGCACATACATACTCTAATACTCTGACCAGCCTTAGCAACATTATACAAATCAGATGCCCTTATGTTTGTATTTATTAATCAACAACTTGTTTTTGAAAGATGGGGCTGGAGAAAGGGAGAAAAAAATGCAATGCTTAACTTTAACGCATTTGGAGGCATACACCACACAGTTTACTTGAAGGCTGTGTATTTACACGCATGGTTAAGCCTAATAATAATAGCCTCTTATATTTCTTCCCACGCTGATGATGCTAACGGCTATTTAAATATATATCACACCCAACCATTTGTGTCCTGCATTTCCCAGGGGACCCTATTTCCATTGCAGCCCTCTACTTTATATTGAGGCATTTGCTGATATGTAAATGCATCCATAAAAGCAGATCTGTTCATCCACTATAAGTAGTATATATTCTACTTCATAATTATCCCTTCTTACACAGAGAAATTGTCATGGTGTGTTTGATCATCTGGTCATGATCTTTAAGTATCACCAAGGTTTAGCTGCTTCCTCATTATCTCAAAATACTTCTCCAAGGTTGTTCCCAAACATTTAATTTCATAGTCCCATGCCCAGTGTTTGTCTTTGATAGTTACTCTGATTGTTGTTGTCTCTGTCTGTTGTTTCTGTCTGTGTCAAGAAAGAGCAGGCCTGCTGTTTTTTAGGTGTGATGTCTACAATTTTATAAATAAAAATAAAAAAAGTGGAAAGTTACAGACGGTTGGAATGGAATATGGCACTCACATTTCAATGGAAATGAGGAAAGAAATGGGCACAGTGTGGATTTACAGCAGTTCATTAGATTGGATCCACCGTGCCGCTGTATCTTTCACGTGAACAATCTCCTATAGCTCGAGTAAATTAGTGTGCAATCTCGTATACCTGCTGTAAATGAATCTGTCCATCAGCTTGTGTCTCAGGTGTTGGAGTGGAGGAATGGTTCTGCCCTGCCGTGGCTGCTTTGAATTCTGAGACAGAGAGAAGATGATTGTTAAACACTTGAGTTGAAGTTTTTGATTGCTAGAGTTAAAATAAAAATCTTATCAAGGTGGTTGTTCCTGTTATTTTGTAACATTCTTAATTACCGTTCTATAGATGTTCATCCAATGTCTTTTTATTTCACCTCTGGACTCAACAGCAAGCATGAGTCTTCTTTGAAAATACAGGTCCTCAGATCTCTCCAGGGGCACGCTGGGGTAGATTTGAATCTGATGAGAAAATGCATGTGTGAAAATTGCGCTGTGTTCATTTGGGTGATGGATAAGTTGGCAAGTCGGATTACCCTCTTGACAGGGAGCAAATGGAAGCCAGACTGTGTTTTCAAATGCGGTGCTGCTCTGTAAAACAGATATTCTTCTGCAAGCTTTGCAATTTGCAAAGATTCCTATCATTTAGAATGACAGACTTTATTACTCTTTCAGTTTTGGCTTTGACATTTTGAAGCTGTTAGCAATGCCCTCAGGGTTTCACTTAGGATTTATCCACATCACACCAGCCTGTCATGTGTAAAATGTAATAAAGGGATCATAATGAGTGTCAATTAGGAGGTAGGAGAAGCAACTATTTTTGTATTTCCTGTGATGAAATATAAGCTATAGTGAGTGTTTCAAACATGAGAATACACATGTACGGAGTCAAAGCTCCTCACGATATAAAAAAATCAAAAGTAGATTCAAGGTCTTAAAAAAACAAAACAAAAAACAGAGCATGAGCAGAATTTCCACTGCCATGAATATTTCCCCCTCTCGTGGCATTTATGTTGGATACCTCACCAGGAAACAGGAATTAAAAGAGCTGTCCTGATGGGCTAGTCCACTGTTTTCATTTAGAAGTCCAGCTGCATGCAGATACAGCTGACCGACCTGAATAATGTATCTAAAAGCTGAACCTCCAAGCATATAGACAACTATATTGCTTTTAAAAGCTTCAAGTAGGAGAGCTTCATGTGTGACATAATTAAATTCCACCCAAGTTAATTCAAACTGTTTAATGATGCAGGGAGAACAATTTATTTCGCTGTGCTAGCAGTGGGGTGGTCCATAGGGGCTACGAGTGAGGAGAGGCATTAGAAGTTCAGTACTTGTGATACAGAGAGGAGGATGTTTAGATGGAGAGAGACTTGAAGGTTGTAGCATCCTTGAGAACACAGCTTCCTATTGGTGTTTATTTATTAAGTTCACTCTCTTTCATTACTATAGTAATGAATTATTAGTAATCTGCATGTGAGGCCAAATCTTACCTCTGCCTACCTTTGTTATTGGGTTAGCAGTTTGGTTATTGTGACCAGCCTGCAGTGTTTCATTATTTTGCAAAGCTAATAACCCCTCCCACGGTGAGCAGCCTGACATTATGCGCATTGTGTTTTTGTGTCTTTTTCCAGGAGTCGGGGCCAGACGGCGGGTAGGAGATGAGTCTGGCGGGTAATCCCACTCCACCTATCCATCAACCTGGAGACTATTTCCAGCGTCCCCTACAGAATGTCAAAGCCTCGCTGAGCAGAAGATGAGTCCATCATCTTCTTTCTAAGACTTTCCCTCGAGTTCCCATCAAAACACATAAACACATCATGTGCCATTATTTTCTATTGCCCTCCCTCCCTTTCTGTCAATGGAGGGCCGCGCGCAGTGAGCGAATGCAGTTGAGTGGGTTGGGTTGTATGCAGTATGCAAAAGAGAAACTCTGTTTGAAAACTACAGGATGTGACAGGATCCTTTCTCTGTCGCTGACATCACTCTGTATGGGTTGTGATGGGGCATGTGCCAGAGATCTCCTGTCTAATAGGAAGTGAGACACTTAAAGAGATGACCCTGCCTCAGTTGCCATCACTGTCTCTCTGCCAGAGAGAGAGCTTGGCTCTCCCATTACTCCTGCACTTGCTAATTAGCGTCTATCGCTGGAGTAACTTGTACCTGTCAGTGTGTGCCGCTCTCCTATATTCAGTAACTTGAGGGAATTGAAATTGAATGCCAGCTAAGCTCCAACAAACTGCAAATGGTGCATGGGATACACCCTGATTTTCTCACTGACCTGACAGCCTTATATGTAAGAAATTGTTTTTAATGACCGCACACTATCTGGGCTAGTTTCTACTGCTTGTGTGGAGCGTTACACGCTAGGGGGCTGTACAGGTTGTTTTACTGCATATTTTTAGGTACTTGACCAAGTCCTTGTGCCATATGTCCATGTATGAATGCCAAAGCCATTTGTGTCAGATAACCCAGTGCCTATTTACATTAAAGAGACATGGTGAAACTGCCTGGTCATTGGTAATTATTGGTCCCATTCCCGGAGCCACTTTGTGCTCGTTCAAGCAGAACAAGGTCGAGTTTATTACAGACATTTTTTCACCCGCAGGATTAGCCATGCTGTTCAAATTCATCCATCCACTGTTCCATTAGTTGATTTATCTGCCGACTAGACTATTCTACATAATGAGTAAAACATGAATTATGGTCAAAGTAATACAAATATTTCATTTACATGCAGATCAACACTGACATGTTGAATTGTTCCCAGTTAGACGCAGTCCTGTTTTAGGGCTAATCCCTCTCTGTTTGCAGATGCTCAGTCATCCCAAACATTTTACTTGTTCTGAATAATGGATTTTCTCTGTGATTGTTTGTTGCTGTCATATGCGAAATAGCTACCTTGCATCAAGTCTGACTTGTGTAAGTAGTGTAGAAATACCTCCCAGACACAGCCACACACACATGCACAGGAGCACGCACACATACTATGTCCTCTTCCTAAGCTGGATGAGACTGTTGATCGAACCCCAGGCTGTGCCCAAATGCGCAGATCTCTCTGTACAGTAGCCCTTGACCTTGCTGTGTGTCCTCATGGCCCAGACACCCGCCTGAAATTAAATTACAGATTAGTGGCTCCAGGCCCAAAGAGGGGTTTATTTGGTTGGCCCCTCTCTGAGAAGCGCTCATTCTCTCATTCAGAAACTGGGGAAAAAAAAATGTCATGGGATTTAAGGAAGAAAATGCCAGTCTTGAAGACGTTTTCTTTCTTCTGACTGTGAGCTCTGCAACCAATGGTCCCCTAAAACTGAAATGTCTACTAAGACTTAGAAATCTTACATTGTAAGATAATTGGAAAGAGGGCCAGTGGGGATAGGTTTGGGAGTTGTGAAAAATGGGTGCTTGGAAACAAACAAAAACATAACTTAAAAGTAAACATAACATAAATAGTAAAGAAAACCAAAGTCAAACTGAAGGAACTGAAACAGCAGCTCACGGTTCCTGTAAACCTTGCTGAATGTACACCTGGAAATTAAAAAATCATTCTTGTGAGACAAACGAAGCAAATGCCAAGCACTCATTAATTTGGAAGTCTGTCAAGCCTTTCGCAGTCCTTAATTCCAAATTACATTCACTTCAAAAAACATTCAGGTACAAGTGGCCATCAATTGCCAATCAAAAAAAATTTATAAATAAATAATCATAAATATGTGGTAGAAAGCATGAATTTGAGACCAACCTGCAGGTCTTTATAAAATGAATGATTCAGCCAAAAACAGCTTCAGTGACAATGAACATTTCTAACTTAAAGGGTTTAGTTCAGATTTCTCACTGAAAAGACTTACTTTGGAAGAAATCCACTTCATGTAAATCCGATTACTGAGGTTTCATGTTAGCTTCCACTGACCTTTGGTTTGCATTTTGTCCCCCATGGCGCACAGTGTAATTGTGCTAAGGCTTGATCACTTCATTGCCAGAATGGGCCAAAGGAAAGATTACAGCGACCAATACCTATTTAAAAGTACATATGGGCATGAGACTATTGTATTACTAAGACAGACTTGATTCTTTCTAAATTAGAAACACTCCCTCTAGACGGCAGCTCTGTGTAGTCAAACGCACAAAATTATGCCACCCCATAAGGGACAGTGAGTGTAAAGTGTGTTTTTTTATGTAACTCTACACTTAAGAAAATAATATATTCCATCTAAATTAGTCCAAATACATGTATAAATACAATGCTCTTCACTTTACTTGCATAATTGATCACACTATGTCACCTTTCACGGACCTGGGCACGAGAGGATAAGTGTTCAAGATGCTAATGTTACATCTTTATTTATCTATCAAAATAAAACACTTGGCAGGGTTTGGAGTTGCCCCACAGCCAAGCCTCGGACTGCATCACAGACATAAGGAAAAAGAGATTAAATTGTCCCAAATTCAAACTCACCCTACAACACTAGAAAATAATGGTGCAGAAAAACTTTGTATTCTCTGAGGGTCCCTGAGGTACGACCATAAACCATTACTTGCCTTTAATCCTTAACTTTAAAGCAACATAGCAAGAGCCAAATCATTTTTCAATGCCTGGCCTTATTAATATGTTTTTTAAGTAGTTTCATGGTTAAAATGCAAAAACAAATTACAGTGAAATAAGAACTTTGATATGATAGATTATCACTCCTACAAAAGATGATCTTCTCATTTGATACTGGGCACAGTCCTTACACTGCAATTCTTCAATTTTAAATTACGCCCCAAACTAGTATAGATACAATCTGAATAAAATTAAAGCAGATGAGAGAGGATATAAATGTTGATCTGTCATTGAAACCACTGCTTATTTAGGTTGTGTTCTTCATGATTTCAGCCCTATGTTCCAGATGCTGAGAGCAGTGTGAGTCAGTGTCAGCCGTTTCCAGTCTGGTTCAAAGCGTTCTGTAATCACTGTGCTCACAGACGCTCTGGGTTTTCTACTTGCTGCCCCCCTCTCCACACGTGGTAAGAGAAACCAGTTAGTACCACAGCAAATTAGGTGAATTCTGCTCTTCAGCTCTGTGACATGGTGCCTGCATGTGCCGGTACAGTGCTCAATGAAATTTAGAAGTGGTATGAGTGCATACAAAGTCAGTCAGGAAACAAACAAATAGAGATTTGTCCTAGACAGCATAAATTCAGTGTGTGCTCACGTTGGCAAAAAAAACTGCAGGTCTCCCAAAGTTCCTCGTAAGTTTTGATCAGTTTAAACTGCCACACACACACACACACACACACACACACACACATATAGGCACATTTCAAAAAATAGGTTGGTGCATGTTATTATTGGGAATGCATCTGTTGGATATTTGTGGCTAAAAAACACAGACTGAACAAACACTCCAGCAGTCAAATTCACTCAAACAAAGTGAGGCAAAAATCTGCTATCAATGCAGATGGGATGAAACAGTATCTTGGAGCGAGAGGGAACACCAGTGCTCCTATTTTTCAAAAAGCTCCCCAGCACTCCAACTCCAGCACAGCTCATACTCTGACTCAGACTGTGGTTCCAAACATGCAGTAGATTTGTATTAGCACTTCTGCTACTCTGCATTTGACTTGATTTGAACATGAGGTCCTAGTAAAGTTATCACTCAAATGGGACCAGATGTGCTCCTTAAATTTTAGTACACAGTAAATGCTTAGTGTGCTCTTCAGTAAATATCCTCCTTTGTTTTTTCCCCTTTTGTTTAGCAGATCCTTCAATCTAAGCATGTACACTTCTTCCATCCTTTTGCTGATACATGATTAATTTCTTTCCCCTTCATTAAAAGTAACCTCAGTCAATTAGAGAGCAGGCAGCTGGCAGCTTCTCCCTTTCATACTGCTTGTGGCCCATATTCTGTTTGGGATGGGACACCTGAGGTCAGTGGCTCTCAGTCCAAGTACTGTGCACCCAGTGCTCTGCTAGTTTCATTCAGTCTAATCAGGGACTGATTCACACTAGGGGCCCCAAGTGAATGCAATTAAAGAGGCGATGGTAAAGAAAACCAGGGTGACGACCAGAATTGAAGACCACTGTGTAATTGGTTTATTCATGGAATGGTGGTACACTATATCACAAGTTATCAAGGTGCATGGAAATAGCTTGGGCCATGGCCAGTAGTCAGTTATTCTGGATTTAAGCATAGTATGTAAGCACTTGCTAAGAATTCTGCTCACTGTGAGCGTCCTTGCATCATTTTTACGATCTGCTGGGTTTGTTCAGCGCTTAAGGAGAAAACACTGCCAGCATTTTATACTGTGTTTTATTGCTCCTGAGGAGGTTCGATAATGTATTTAGTATGCAGAGGCTGGAGCAAAACATAAAACAGGCAAACCGACTGCAATAGTGACCTACCATTATGGGGTTTTGAAAACCGATACTGACGCTGATCATTTTTGGACCAAGGTTGCTAATAACCTCTAATGCTCGGAAACAGCACTCAGTCCACGGGTCTCTGTTGAAATCCAGGAAGTTAATGCTTAGAGAATATTCATGTTACATATGTATTACATTATGGATTTAACTTCATTAATTCAACTTAATTAAAATCCCAATTACATTCTAATTCTTTTTACTGTTGGTCAAAGCCATGCTAGCGGTTTCCACCTGCTTCTAGTCTTAATGCTAAGCTAGGTTGCCTGTCTGCTGGCTGTAGCTTCATATTTGATGGATAGATATAAGTATGATATCAATCTTCTTATCTAGTCCTCAGCAAGAAAGCGAATAAGTGGATTTCGGACGTAAATGTCAGGCTATTCAAGCTAAACCACTTCATCCATACTGCCTCATAAGTCTGTAGTGTGTGTTCAGAAACCACTTGAAAGTTTAAAACTCAAAGCAAATACAGTACAAAGTATAAGTCTAAGTGTAGTGGTTGTCTAGTGGTCCTTGTGTGAAAACGCTTAATGTGTGACAGCAGCCTTGTATTGGTAACAGAAGTAGAATGTGCATTCATTATTGTCTAAGACAATGTTTCTCAAACATTTTACACAACGTACCACCAAAGGAAATATTAGGCTCTGAAAAGAACCACCATTATGACTGATGTTAAAATACAGTATTGTAGGCCGACCCTATTCAGCTACAGACAGTTCATGCAGGAGGCAGGTTTATTCCTAATAAGATTATTTATTGTTTGTTGAATCTTGAATAGAACTGGTTCAAAAACCAGAGCTAATTTGATGAAAAAGGCGTACTCCTGGTTCACAATAGTTCCAGTTTGGAGCTACGATTGCAATGTTTTTGAACCATTAATTTTGCCTCTGCTTACTATCTTGCCATCACATTTGAACTCATAACTAATCAAGTATGAATGCATGCACTACGTGCATGAACATGATTAAATAGCAGGCTGATATCAAAGCTAAATATTACAGGAAATGCAAAACACATTTTAAATTACATTTCAGCCATCATAGTACTTCTAATTAGATTTTCTTTTGTGAGTTAAAGTAGTGTTGCGAACACCAGAACTTACT